ACACAAGTAAAAACACACATGGCACATAGCATAATTACAATTAAACACATAAATAAATTAATATAATCATGATATGCATTTTGGGGTCATTATACAATGTCATGTGTCAGCCACATCGGCAAATCCGCCACGTCAGCGTTACAGTCAGCACTGATGGAATATTCTGCATCTGGACAGAATATTCCCTGCCTTGACAGAGTATACCTTTCTCTAACGGAATATTTCCCTAGAAAGGTAATTTTGGGCTGTTTTTTAGATAAGAAGACTTGTTCCTAGCTAAACAGACCGTTCTGGACGCAACTGTGAGATTAGAATGGAGAAATTCTGAATATGAAGTTTCTATTTTTATTTTCATCTGAGAGAGTTGTAAGGTTTTTATTTTGTTGTAATATTTTCTTCCTCTCATCTCTCATTTGGATATGTAATAATTCAAAGTGTTGTAATAATTCCCCGCCCTGCTTCTTTTTATCTTTTTTTTTTACTTGCTTTCTATATATCTACATAAACATCATATTTTATTTTTCATCATATCCATGCTTTGTATCCATGTTTCATGCATCTTGATTCGGCTAAATTTGCATCTATGGATTTCATCAATTCTTGTGTGATTATGTGCGCTATCTCATGTTCTTGAGATGATTCACATGTTATATATTAGGAGCCAAATCTTTAGTTGCATTTCATGAGTGAATTGCATTAGGATTTTGTATATAAGATCATGCATATTTCGTTAACTTTGTTATGTAACTGTTCGCGGGACGTCGGTAAATAAGTAAGTTTTTATGCTTTAGCATCTTGTTTGTGTGTGTTTTCCTTACTATGTTTACCATTCTACAATGTGGCTATTTGCTTATGTTGTATAACTCTACGAATGCCGGTGGATGGAGGTTGTGTCACTTAAATTGGAATGATATTGATTTTCATATTTGTAATTTCTTTGAGTTTTACATCTTCAAAACTCTTTCAAAATATATGAAATCAAATTGTTCCAAAATAAATGACATAGTCTATACTTATATGCTTCATATAGTAACTTTTAGGATCTATTAAATAAATCGGAATATGAACACATAAAGTAAATAAAACTCATATCATAGTTTAGTAAAAGTCAATCTTTGACCAGGTGAGCGGGGGTACTCAATTAAAGTTTTCTCAAAATATTAGGTGGCGATTCTGAGATCTGATGATGCAATTCATTTCTGGCAAAAGTTTTGTAATAAAATAGATTTTTTTATAAATGTTGCCAAATCTGGACTCTCATCTATGTTTCACATTGCACTCGTGAGACTAGATCAAAAAGATCGAGGCTCCAAATTGTTTAACACGCAAGTACCCTCTGGGCAATGTTACACCCTCTTTAGCTCATGTTCAAAAAACACACACATAACAACATAGCTCATGTTCTCAAAAGTTTGGGAAATATAGAGAAAACCCTCTTCAGAATCATCTAAACATATGAACCCAAAATCATGGTTCCTATTAATGTATATTATTATTCTCTTTCTCTATCTCCTTGTATCTCTATCTTTTTCTATACTTATCCAGGTTTCTTTTCAGCCTATATATACAGGTTTCTCCTATTGTATTCTTTCTTTCAATTCAATAATACAGATACACAATTCTAACATGGTATCAGAGTTATAGATCCTAAAATTATAGACTTCTTTATTTTCTTTTTCTGCTTAGTCACGTACACAGTGGTACTACATCATTTTATTCAATCACCTAAACACTGATTGAACTGTTTCGCCATATTTTTTTCTCCAAATTTTTTTTCTTCTCAACATCAAGCTGATTAGAATCTTCTCAGGATTCCACCGGCACCAATCTCATCACCAGAAAGTTTCTCACGTGCCACTTTTGTGCTTGGTGCATCATCTTATTACGCCTTCACTCACACACGCTCTCCTACGCGTCAGCCACGCCATCTGCTCAACCGCTCAGCCATCAGCCGTTAGTCGCTTCCTTTCAACCTCACGTCTATTCTGGTCCAGCCACGCGTGTGTCCCACACGCTAACGTTAGCCCTAAGCTGCTTCCGTCAGTTGATAACGTGCGTCGCGCCTTTACTGACATCAACTTCCCTCTTGCTGATGTCAGCCCTACACCATGTTTGGCTAAAATTCAATTCTTAGCTTGTTTCGCCAATTTTTTGCACCTTTTCTGATCATTTTGGTCTGGTTTCCGACTATTTTTGACGTTCCAGATTCACTGGTCCACTCTATTTCATCTAGTTCTACTCCGCCATCATTGGTTCTCCTTTGTGATTCATTATTTAATCATCTCATGGCTCGTTCAGACAGTTATCCTCAGTACGGTCGCTATTCTGGACCCTCCACAATACACAGCTGAGATCAGTCTTCAACACATTTTGCATCTACTACAGTTGTCTCTAGTTCCTCATCCGTTGTTGCCCCGTTACCACCCTACATTCTTCAGGACATTGAAGTTATTGTCAAAAACGTTATTTCTACCTCTGGTACACCCTCTACTATCCTCTCAGTTACTCCAGGTACCTCTTCTTGGAATTTTGATTCTGCTTGTTGCAACCATATGACCTCTGACCCTACACTTTTCTTCTTTATTACATCTTCTACGTTACCTGTTATTTACACTACTGATGGCTCTCAAATGCATGCTAGTCATATAGGTCATATTTCCACCTCTACTGTTTCTCTACCCCACACTTATCTGATCCCCAATCTTACACTTAATCTTGTTTCAATTGGTCAATTTTGTGATCTTGGCCACACTGTTCTCTTTTTTTCAACTGGTTGTGTTGTGTAGGATCCGAAGACGGGACAGACTCTTGAGATCGATCTTAGACATGGTCGTCTGTATGAGCTCATCCGCCTTCGTATTCCCTCCTCCAGTCCTTCCACTGTCCAGACTATTGCTCCTATTACTCCTAGTTCTCCTCTTCCCTTGAGGCATTCTCAACTAGGTCATGTTTCTTTGGTTGTTTACGATCTTTAGTTTCCAGCAATCAGTTAAGTCATGTTCCAAATGATAAAATAGATTGACTATCTTGTCAACTAGCAAAATAATCTGTTTTACCATTTCCATCCAGTACTTCTATGTCTCATGCACCTTTTGATCTCATACACTCTGATGTTTAGGGACCAGCACCTAATACCACTATGGGGGGATCTAAATACTTTGTCATTTTTGTAGATGTTTTCACTTGTTTTACCTGGTTATTTCTTATGAAGTCCCACTTTGAGTTACCACAAATATACTATGATTTCTCATAAATGGTCAAAACTCAGTTTTCTTCCACCATCAAAGTTTTTCGTGCTGATAATGCCCAAGAATACAAAGAAACAAATTTTTTGAGATTCTTTCGTCAAAATGGCACACTTTCTCACTATTCTTGTCTTGGTAACTCCCAACAAAATGGTCGTGCTGAGTGTAAACATCGTCATCTTTTAGAAACTATATGTGCTCTTTTAATTTCCTCCTCTTGTCCTGAGTGTTTCTAGGGGGAAGTCGCTCTCATAGTTGCCTATACTATCAACTGTGTTCCTTCTCCTACCATCAACAATCATACCCCATATGAGCGCTTATGGGGTGTTTAGGAAGGAATTTTTTTTAGCTTTTTTGGCTAAAATAGCACTAAAAGACAAAATAGACTAAAATAGCCAATAAGACAAAATGTCACATCAAATCCATAATCATTTCACTTTTTCTCTTACAAATATCACATCTAATTATAAAAAAATCAAACTATCTTCCCAAACACAAAAATTTTAGCCTCCTAAAATCACCAAAAACTAAAATAGCCTACTAAAATAGCAACTTCCCAAACACTCACTATATGGCCAACCTCCTATCTATTCTCGTCTTCGTGTGTTTGGATGTGCTTGTTTTGTCCTCCTTCAACTGCATGAGCGTTCCAAATTAGAACCTCGAGCTCATCTGTGTTGCTTCTTGGGGTATGAGATTGAACATAAAAGCTATCGTTGTTGGGATCCTATTTTTTGACGTCTTCTTGTCTTTCGTCATATGGTATTTTGGGAAGACAAGATGTTCTCTTCTATATCTAAGTTTCATTTGTTCACTTCTCCCACTACATCATTTTTCACAGATCCCTCTCTTTTGTTTAATGAGCTAGATACAGACACTACTTCTGCCATGTTGCCTCCGACCCATCCTGAGGATCCTGCTCCATCTCTTGGTCCTGCTAATGCTCCACTCCTAGTCTTGCCATGCTACCTCTGGCCCATCTTGAGGCTCCTGCTCTGCCTCCTGGTCCTACTTCTAAGGTACCTCTTCGTCATTCTACTCGAGTAACACAACCTTCTGTCCTTCTTCATGATTTCATTGTTGGTTCTATTCCTCTCATGAACCTACTTCCTATCGAGAGGCTTGTTCTAACCCTCTTTGGCAACAAGTTATGACTGATGAACTACAGGCTTTTGATAAAACTCATACTTGGGATGTGGTTGATCTTCCTTCTGGCAAAAGTGTTGTTAGTTGCAAATGGGTTTACAAGCTCAAGATTCATTCTAATGTATCTATTGAGAGTTACAAAGCTTGTCTTGTTGCCCGAGGGTTTACTCAAGAATATGGGATTGACTATGAAGAAACCTTTGCTCCTGTTGCCCGTTTGACTTTTGTTCGTAGCTTACTTGCCATTGCTGGTGCTCGCCACTGGAAACTTTGTCAGATGGATGTGAAGGATGCATTTCTCAATGACGATCTCACTAAGGAAGTTTATATGCAACCTCCACCTGGTTCCTCTGTTCCGCCCTCCAAAGTTTGTAAACTTCACCGTGCTCTATATGGTTGGAAACAAGCTCTTCGTGCCTGGTTCACCAAGTTTAGCTCCACCATTCATGATTTTGGATTTTCTTCTAGTGCCTGTGATTTTGCCCTTTTTATTCGTAAAACAAAGCGTGGTACTATTCTTCTTCTTCTCTATGTGGATGATATGATCATCGCTGGAGATGACACGGTGGGTATCTCTAGTCTAAAATAGTTCTCAGTCGCCAATTTGAGATGAAGGATTTGGGTCTTCTCAGCTATTTTCTCGGCTTGGAAATCTCTCATGATCCATCTGGTTACTTTCTCTCCCAAGCCAAGTATACTTCTGATCTCTTGGCTCGTGCTAGTCTTACCGATTGCAAGACTGCCTCTACTCCCCTTAATCCTCAAACTCATCTCACACCTCTTGACGGTCACTTATTGTCTGATGTTACTTTGTATCGTCAGCTAGTTGGCAGTCTTGTCTATCTTATGGTTACTCGTCCAGACATTACTTATGCTGGTTACATTATTAGTCAGTTCATGGATGTTCCTCGCTCTCTGCACTATGATGCTCTAGTTCACATTTTACACTATCTTAAAGGCACTATGTTTCATGGTCTTCACTACTCCGCTCACTATTCCCTACAGTTACATACATTTTCTAATACTGATTGGGTAGGGGACCCTACTGATCACCGTTCTATTACAGGATTCTGCTTCTTCTTGGGTGACACTCTCATTGCCTAGCATAGCAAGAAGCAAACTCTTGTTGCGCATTCTAGTACTGAAGCTGAGTATCGTGCTCTTGCTAACACTACTCAAGAGCTTGTGTGGCTTCGCTGGCTTCTTTCTGATATGGGGGTTTCTCTTTTTACTGCGATTAACCTGTATTGTGATAATCAGAGTGCTATTCAGATTACCCATAATGATGTCTTCCATGATCGCACAAAGCATATTGAGATTGATTATCATTTCATACGACAGCATGTTACTGGTGGCACTATTCGTCTTATCTTTGTTATCTTTGCTAATCAGAAAATCGACATGTTCACTAAGGCTCATCCTCCTGGTCATTTCAGTGATCTAGTTTCCAAACTCAAGTCGGTTGATGCCTGCCCATCTTGAGTTTGAGGGAGGTTGTTAATGTATATTATTATTCTCTATGTGTATCTCTATCTCCTTGTATCTCTATCTTCTTCTGTACTTATCCTTATATCTCTATCTTCTTCCATACTTATCTAGTTTTCTTTTCAACCTATATATAGAGGCTTCTCCTGTTGTATTCATTCATTCAATTCAATAATACAGATACACAATTCTAACAGTTCCAAATATAAGAAAAGACTTCAAACAAACACAGACTTGCATAAAACATATATAACTCTAAAAATGTCCTTACCTCAAGCTTGGAAGGTGAATGAGAGAAGAACCCTAAAATTGAATGTTGGTGAAATCTTGATTTGATCGGTGAAAATGTAGTCCTCGTCACCCTCTTCAATTTGGTATAAAAAATCCTATCAAATTCTTGGTAATCTATGCAAGATCTTAGAGAAAAGTTTGAGTTTGGGTGGGTTTGTAGAGAGAATGAAGAGAAAAGATGAACATAGAGAGAGATATATATATATATATATATGAAATAGTGTACCAAACATGTTTTTGGCATCAGATTTGAGGAAAAGAGCACAAAATTTGAGACAGACACGCCGAAATCCGCATGAGCAGAATTCCAAATCCGCACGAGCGGATTACAGATGCCCTCCATGAGCAGTTTGAGTCAAGGGCGAACCTAGAAATTCAACGAAATTCGCTCAAGCGGTTATTAATTCCGCACGAGCAGAATTCTGCCTAGAAAACTCTTCCTCCCCTGAGTGCTTCTACTCGAGCAGTTCCACTAATCCGCACGAGTGATTTTGCCAGCTAGCCCAAAATTTGGTTTCACACCCCGAAACAAGTTCTAACGCTCCAAACTCGAAAATTTAAATTCGAAACATTAAGAGTGGTTAAGTAAGAATGGAGATGAAATCTCAACTATCCAATACAAAGATCAAAACACCAAAAGTAAAATAAACTATCTGACTACGCAATTCCAGTCAAGTCTAGGACCCGAGACATCACATTTGTGACACAAGTTACTTGACTTTTTGAAAACTTACATAATTTTGTGAGAAATAAAAGTGTTCTCCAAGGACTTACTCGTATTTAGGATCACTTACGTATTTTTGGTGAAATTACTTGCGTAAGTTTTGAAAACATAAACAATTTTTTGAAATAAAAGTATTTCCAAGGACTTACTCGTATTTGTGATCACTTACGCATTTTTGGAAAATTAGTTACGTCAGTTATGAAAACTTACGCATTTTTGTATTATTCAAAATTTTTAGGAACAAACTTGCGCATCATTTTGTGTGAATTATCTTGAGTTTTGTGATACAACTTACTTGACTACGTAAAAACTTATGCAATTTTGTGAAATGGAAGTGTTATCCAAAGACTTACTCGTATTTGTGATCACTTACGTAGTTTTTGGAAAATCGCTTACGTAAGTCGCAAAGAGTTACTCGTATTTGTGATCACTTATGCAATTTTCAGAAATCAGTTACATCAATTATGAAAACTTACGTATTTTTGTGTTGTTGAAAATTTTTAGGAACAAACTTATGGGTCATTTTGTCCTAACTACCCTGAGTTTTGTGACACAACTTACGTGACTTTCTGAAAACTTACTCAATTTTGCAAAATAAAAGTGTTTTACAAAGATTTACTCTTATTTGTGATCACTTACGTATTTTTTGGAAAATCACTTACATAAGTTGTAAGGACTTGTGTAATTTTGTGAATTAAAAGTGTACTCAAAAAACTTATTCGTATTTGTGATAATTTACGCATTTTTTCAGAAATCACGTACTTTAATTGTGAAAACTTACGTATTTTTGTATTGAAATTTTTTAGAAACAAACTTACGCGTCATTTTGTGTTAACTACCCTGAGTTTAGTGAAACAAGTTACGTGACTTTCAGAAAATTTACTCAATTTTGTGAAATAAAAGTGTTTTAAAAGACTTATTCATATATGTGATCATTTATGTATTTTTTGGGAAAGCATTTACGTCAATTGTGAAAACTTATGCATTTTTTTGTTGTTGAAAATTTTTAGGAACAAAATTACGCTTCATTTTGTGTTAACTACCATGAGTTTTGTGATACAAGCTACGTGACTTTGTGAAAACTAATGTAATTTTGTGAGAAATGAAAGGTTTTCCAAGGACTTACTCGTATTTGTGATTAGTTACCCATTTTTTAGGAAATCAATTATGTCAGTTGTAAAAACTTATTTATTTTTGTGAAATAGAAGTGTTCTCAAAATATCTACTCATATTTGTGATCATTTACGCATTTTTTGAAAAATCACTTACGTTAGTTATGAAATCTTACACAATTTTGTGTTGTTAAAACTTTTTAGAAACAAACTTACGCGTCATATTGTGTCAACCACCTTGAGTTTTGTGACACAACTTACGTGACTTTATGAAAACCTATGCAATTTTGTGAAATAAATGTGTTCTCCAATGACCTACTCGTATTTGTGATCAGTTACACTTTTTTTGATAATTCACTTACGTCAATTGTGAAAATTTACGCAATTTTGAAAAATAAAGGTATTCTCCAAGGACTTACTTGCATTTGTGATCCTTTGTGCATTTTTTGAGAAATAAGTTGCGTCAATTGTGATAATTTGTGAAAACTTACGCATTTTGTGAAAACTTAATTTTTCTTAACAAACTTGCCCATTTTTGTGAAATAAATTACGTAATTTGTGAAAACTTACACATATTTGGGTTGTTCTAAATTTTTAGGAACAAACTTACCCATTTTTTTGAAAAACTTACGCATTTTTTGTGAAATCACTTACGTGATTTCTGAAAACTTACGCATTTTGTGAAAACTTAATTTTGCTTAATAACCTTACCCATTTTGTGTTCACTTACGCGTTTTTGTGAAATCAGTTATGCGATTCATCAAAACTTACGCATATTTGTGGTGTTCTAAATTTTTAGGCACAAATTTATCCATTTTTTGTGAAAATGTACCCATTTTTGTAAAATTACTTACGTGATTTGTGATATAGCGATCCCGGTTGTCCCTTTACTGTTCTGTTGTATTCCGGACTCGGTTCCGTGAAGTTGGTAGTGGTATCTATCTTGTTGTCGTCCTTTAATTCCACTTGATTGAGTTTTAGGATGTTTTGAACAGGGTTGTTACAGGTTGGTTAGGCCTTGGTTTCAATTCCTTGTTGTTCAGTTTTTAGGCGATCCACTCGAGCGGGTCTTCTTGCGCTCGAGCGGGTATTGCACACCTCCAGTATTTCGGGTTCCTGCAAAACTTCTGCAGATGTGATTTTTGCGCTCGAGCGGGTTTGTTGGCGCTCGAGCGGGTAGTACTTCCTGGGTATAAGTTCTGGGAGGGGGAAATCTACGCTCGAGCGGACTGGTTTTCGCGCTCGAGCGGATGTGTTTTACTCTTGTGTCTTGACGCTCGAGCGGGCCTTATTGCGCTCGAGCGTGTCCAGATTTTGACGCTCGAGCGTTGTATTTTCCGCTCGAGCGGGAATGTCGTATAACAGAGGGCAGCTAGGCATTTTTGAATCACTTTCTACACTTTCTCTCTCTCTCCTACTTTCTTTTTGTTGTTGAAAATTTTTAGGAACAAAATTACGCTTCATTTTGTGTTAACTACCATGAGTTTTGTGATACAAGCTACGTGACTTTGTGAAAACTAATGTAATTTTGTGAGAAATGAAAGGTTTTCCAAGGACTTACTCGTATTTGTGATTAGTTACCCATTTTTTAGGAAATCAATTATGTCAGTTGTAAAAACTTATTTATTTTTGTGAAATAGAAGTGTTCTCAAAATATCTACTCATATTTGTGATCATTTACGCATTTTTTGAAAAATTACTTACGTTAGTTATGAAATCTTACACAATTTTGTGTTGTTAAAACTTTTTAGAAACAAACTTACGCGTCATATTGTGTCAACCACCTTGAGTTTTGTGACACAACTTACGTGACTTTATGAAAACCTATGCAATTTTGTGAAATAAATGTGTTCTCCAACGACCTACTCGTATTTGTGATCAGTTACACTTTTTTTGATAAATCACTTACGTCAATTGTGAAAATTTACGCAATTTTGAAAAATAAAGGTATTCTCCAAGGACTTACTTGTATTTGTGATCCTTTGTGCATTTTTTGAGAAATAAGTTGCATCAATTGTGATAATTTGTGAAAACTTACGCATTTTGTGAAAACTTAATTATTCTTAACAAACTTGCCCATTTTTGTGAAATAAATTACGTAATTTGTGAAAACTTACACATATTTGGGTTATTCTAAATTTTTAGGAACAAACTTACCCATTTTTGTGAAAAACTTACGCATTTTTTGTGAAATCACTTACGTGATTTCTGAAAACTTACGCATTTTGTGAAAACTTAATTTTTCTTAATAACCTTACCCATTTTTGTGTTCACTTACGCATTTTTGTGAAATCAGTTATGCGATTCATCAAAACTTACGCATATTTGTGGTGTTCTAAATTTTTTGGCACAAATTTATCCATTTTTTGTGAAAACATACCCATTTTTGTAAAATTACTTACGTGATTTGTGAAAACTTAATTTTTCAGAACACATTTACCCATTTTTGGGTTCAGTTACGTGTTTTTGTGAAAGCACTTACGGGATTTGTG